CTAAAGGGCTAATGATAACCATCAAAACGTTTACCATTTGATATAAATAAATAAATATTTCACAAATCTATGTCAAACTTTTATTTTTTTCTTCCAATTTTGCTTATCTTTGTATAAATAAAATGCTTCCATTTCTCAGGTAATGTGATAAAGTTAAAAACCCCAAAATTACAAATAAACAAATTTTAAAAGATTTAATCTAGATTTATGGTTTGAAACGATGATATATTAAATATTTGCACTTTACTTAGCTGGAAATTTTAAAATCAATTCTAGAAAAAATACGAAAAAATGAATTTAAAATTGCCTTGAATATAACATCTACTAATGACATTTATTTAAAAAATTTCACAATTTTGAGGTAAAGATTCTCTACTGACTCAAATTTGTAGTTCCCTCAGAAATATTATGAAAACAGGAAAACCAATGAAATCACTGTGGAGAGAAGTAACTTCCGTCGTCGTTTAAAAATTTCCCAAACAATAAAAACTCTTGATTTTGAAAGACTAGACACCTAAATTATGGAAAAGGCAACATCTCCTACTCTACTTTTACCAAAGATACTTATTCAGTCGATATGGGGGTGTGCGTTAGACTTACCTCCGCGTGATGCACCCTGGGCAACGTATACTCATACGGTAAAAGTCTATCAATGGGCAGTTGACTTCTGACTTCAAACTGCCATGATCCCTCTGTATGCCATATTCGACTACAGTATTCACCTCACCTTTTTTCTACCTTCGTCTTTGAAGCACTCTTCTGTTCCCCCCCCCCTCTCGACTTTTTTTCCACTTTGATGTTCCTTCCCCTCTGTGAAGCCTGTAGTCAACTAAAGGGCTAATGATAACCATCAAGACGCCTGCCATTTGATATAAATAAATATTTATAACCGTCTGAGATTACTTCACTTGTAAACAAGTCATATGAGGCCACAAAATAATTGCACTCCAATTTAAATATTCAAGTAATATTGTATTATAGATTATTTCATTTCCACGCAGTCAACTGGATATGTGAGTCCATTTGTGAAGAAACTGCCCCTACAATTATTGGCTTATGAGGGGACCAATCACTAACCGACAATTCAAGCCTGCATAAGGAAACTGATCTTGTTTCTACTTGCTCAGTAATTTCTTAACCAAATTACATAGAATTTAGTCATTTTCCGTTAGAAATATGCTTTCAACTATCCAGAACTTTGCGAAATGAACAACTTTTTTGTTAAACACTGATACCTCGTGGAATTTCATAAAGACGGATTCAAAAATGCTGAAACTTCCCAGTTGTAAAACTTAGGAAATAGAATATACCCTTTTGTGGCTGGGATAAAAGTATGAAGTTGCCAAGGAAACCGGATGCGACGTGCTTACCACGGCCTTTAAATCCAAATCTAATAAAGTCGAACTATTTAGACTATTTCTATTTTCATCATCATAATCATCATCATATTGCACGTTCAGGGTTTTTTCATTCCACAAAAGTAAAATTTAAATTAACTGCGTGTGCCTTGAAAATTATATACGAAATTGGTGAATGGAATGAGATGTTACATTCCCTTAACTCTACTTCAAGATTGTCAAGTGTAACTCAATGTCATCATCAGATGCGACATTCTCAGAAACACCTAATAGTAAGCGTAGAATCATCTTCTACTTGAGCACAAGGCCACAACTTTAATGATCCAATGTTTTCTGCTTTCTTTTCTAATTTATAACTGAGAGGTGCGATTTCGTTAAAGCGACTAATTAAATGTACGACACTTTGTTAAATGTGAGATGGGTGTATATTTTATAAAAACAAAACTAAAAAAGAACTTGTCGTTCTTAGCATATTGTTCAATACTCGACCTTTCTCCCACATAATTTGTCCAAAATAAGGTCGTTTGTGAAGATTAAAACTGTCAGCAACTGCGTTGAAAACAAACAGTTTGGTGAACTGGAAATTCAAAATCCCAAGAACGCTAAATCACCCAGTAGTTAAATTACCCTAATTCTGCAACTTGATTTCAAGGTAAATTACTTAACACCATGGCATCAGTATTTGTCCTCAATCTTTTTCGTCCATGTCTGGTTTTGGCACCCAAAGTTAGGCTGCGTTCTTGTTGAGCCAAAAGACAATCTCCCAAGTGCGAAAGTGTGCGTGTAATATTTACTTAAAAAAATATTAAAACGGGACGGTAACATGTTGTCTGATTTTTTGCCAACATTTAACGTGGCTACTTTTTCACATTTGAACACTAGATGAGGTAGATGGCAAATTTCGTTGGAAATTTCTGTTTCTGCATAAAATTCGGGGAGAATTATTTCAATATTATTTTTGTTTAAATTTTAGCTAAGTCGCGTACGAAGTAATCTCGCACTGTGTGAATTGTCCTGTTATGGCTATATATTATAATAAACCAATAATTTTACTTGACAGCGTTATGTGTGCACAGATTGAGCGGAATCTATGCCAACATCAAATGCGTGTGCAGAGAATATCGAAATTTTTGAGGCCGAATTCTAACATCTAATCAGTGGGAACTCAAATTCAGGGTGATTCAAGAAATTTGTCACCTAGTGTCTGTGAATAGTGTTTCCGTAAACTTGTTTTCAAGTATCAATGAGTCATAGTCGGTGGCAATCTTTAATTAATTGACCATAAAACAGCTACAGCATAATCACGTTTAAGGTCACGCCACCCCAGTTCCTGGCCTCCCAAACTGCAATTCTCGAAATCTACACACCATTTAAATTTGCCCTTACTCTTAACATGAGTCTTGATTTTGTGATTTGGGTAAAAATCTTGTTAACCTTTTGGCCTTAGGAAAATTCTCTAATTCCAGATGGAGATAACTCCTTGCCAAACGCGAATGACCGAAAAAAAGTATTTCTCCTTTTAAGTTACCACTCTGAAACCTAGTTTATCGCAATCTAATGCATAATTCATTGAGTTAGGTTATTCCGGCATTAGATATTCTTTGCTTTGAACATAGAAAGAAGGTCAACCTTCATCGATTTTCAATTAGTATTTGTTTACATGTAATATCAGACTACTTATTCTGGTATTCACAACAAAGTCTTAATTAGGTAAACAAACATTTTTATCTCTATTTTTATTATAGTACTTATAGATCGTCTAATATGGCCAATAACAAAGCTCTATTTATAGTTTTGAGCACACTTCTGTAACGAGGCGAAGTATTGTAGGTACATAGTCAATTACTTGAGTCAGCAATAATTAACACTGGCAAGATGGTATACAAACAGCCTTACTCTGATTAAGGGAATAGCATTGTTCTCAAACAAATGTGATAATTGCAATTAATATAAAAATACCACCTGATGATTCTCGGTCATTAATGGAATTTGAATACATCTTTTATAAAATTGACGCTTTTGCTGAAGAGAGGCTGAAAGGGAAAAAGCCCCTCCAATTTACTCAATTTCTCCCTTTCTCAGTCACTAGACGCAACTACCAAAAAGATTGAGTCTTCTCACTAATTTTCCCTTCAAATTTTGTTTATTTCAAATGGCAGGCGTTTTGTTAGTTATCATTAGACCTTTAGCTGAATTCGGACCTCACAGAGGGGAGGAACAAGCGAAGGCACAAAATATCGATAGACTTACCTCCACGTGGTGCATCCTGGGCAACGTATTCTCATACGGCTAAAATTCTATCACTCGGCATTCGTTTTTTCTCATACGGCTAAAAGGTCTATTAACCGGCAGTTGACTTCTGACTTCTAACTATTATGACCCCACTGTATGTCATATTCGTCACCTTTCACAGTAATCATCTTACCTTTTCTCTGACTTTGTGTCTGTCTGTGACTTTCACATACGTGAATCACTCTTCTCTCTCCTTCTCGAATTTCTCTAACTTTGATATTCCTCCCCTCTCTGAAGCATGAAGTCAGCTAAAGGGCTAATGATAACTATCAGAACGCCTGCAATTCGGATAAAATAAATTAATGCTCGAGTATATGCCGTAAGAAAATTTTCGCAACAACCAAAGTCTACGATGATAGGTCAAATTACTTAATCCTCAAGTTCAACGGTACTCGGAACTCGGTAAGTATCTATGGATAGAAGTCGGACTACTTAGATCTCCTTAGTGTGAACCTATTAGACAACTCATATTCTGTACATCCTAACTCTCCACATTTTGAGACTTTAGCCATTGATCTTGAGCACCCCTCCATTACTCTTACTCAAACTTTATCGAAAGATTCAGTACCCACCAAAACTTTCTATTCCAAACCTCACTCCCAGGTTTTATCTACCCTACCCAAGACTTCCAGGACTCTTTATGAACTAAAAGATATCTTCCCTTCTCTATTGCCCTATTATGGAGGTAAATATTCTTTGATGATTTTTTCCCAATGCCTTCGATATCTAAAAATGCTTCTGCGAGTAGAAGAAGGCCATTCCATAGAAATAGAGACATCGTACTCAATTAGAAACCCGAAGCTACCTCATATTTGGGGATTCAATCAATTATATATAATATTAAAAGTTGTAACATTATCATTTTTTGTCGGTGTCATGATACCTTGCAATCAATGAATCTGTTTTATGTCCGCATCGCCAATGAATTCATTCACTCTTAACGTGCAAAGTCTTGGCCATTAATCAGGCGTTTCTCAAGTATTTTTTTACCTTTCCCCGTTTTCAAGTGAAGACTTTATCTTAAAACTCCTATTTATATCAAGGAGGCAAATTCTCAATGACAGGCAAAGGAAACATAATTTATAAAAACAATATATATATATATATATACCAATAAGAACAATGCACTTCAAAAATACAATTAAACTCTAAAATGCGTTAGACTGATTTCGTTCACAGTATTACTGGCATGAGTGCCATCGTCGTTCCAGATCACACAACCAACCAATCGCCAAAAAATGAGGAGAAGGAGGGAACTGGCAAGAGCAGTGAAGGCTGGCCAAAAGATAGCATGTGCTGTGGTGGAAAAATCGCGGAGTTTCTTCAATATCACAGCATCATCACGAAGGTAACAGGGGAAGGCGGGTGTCTGGCTCAAACTCCTGTTGAATAATATCACACTCATTGCGTTGCTCTCCCTCCTCTGCTTACATGGTCGAATTGAGCACTTAAAGGGAAACGGGAAAATTGATTGTCACATATTTGAAAGTTTTATTTATTTATTTCGAATGGCGGGCATTTTGATAGTTATCATTAGCTCTTAGCTGACTTCGAATTTTACAGAGAGGAGAAACATCAAAGTTCAAGAGGGTGGACCAAAGAGTGAGAGTGAGGTCATGGTAGTTTGTAGTTGGTAATCAACTGCCGGGTAATAGACTTTTTTGTCGCATGAGTATATATTGCCCAGGGTGAACCACGTGGAGGTAAGTCTATCGCACACCCCATATTTGAATGTCGGCGATTATTTAAACTTATTGGTATATCTAAGAATACGAATTTAATAGAATTCATTTATCAATAGGACTTACAAGTTTAATTACTCAACGAATAAGTTAGTGTAGATTTTATGATCATAATGTGGTTTTGCAAATACAAGGCATAAGTAAAGAACTTGGATCAGTGAATGAACCATGAAATAAATGTTCGAAACTCAGGGCCAAAATTTCAAATGTTTTAAAGTTTTTTTCAACATTTGTCGTACCTTTTTCTTGCTTAATATATAATTTAACTTATTACTTTATGAAAAGTAGATAATAGATAAGAAAATAAGATAAATAAAAATAGGAGATTACTAATTGTTGCGATCGATTCGTATATTAATGTGTTGACCTGGTGTTACGATTTCGGTGTCCAGTGTACCTTAAAGCCAGTGATAGATGGACATTTCGCAAACGGATCGCTATGCAACCCAAAACGTACAAGTGACATTTGCGCAAGTAATTGTTAGTCTCATCTTAAGTGTACTAACAAATTTTATGCGTAAATTCATTGACAATCAGCCTCGATCCTCTTAACGGTCAATTAATCACTTACAATTAAAACGATGAGAATCAATTTTTTTTATTTCGAGACATTTTGGGGCAGTAAACCACTGGTTCGAATAATGGATAATTGGCCACAATAAATATAATCTACAAGTCAGTTGTCGTGTAGGTTTATGGACCGCACAAGGCTAACACGATTGAACTAAGCAATCTTATGAGCGCTCAAAAAATCTAAAACGTGCGTTTTTGCTCCTGATCGCGCTGGGAAGCAGGTGAGGTCATGAGTTCAGAGACCTCTCGGCCAATCAATAGCCAATAGAAATTTTCAGTGTCACCATACCCAATGCTGTTTTTAAAGACAGCTCTGCGCCAATCACATCATGAACTATCACACTATCAATATACGCCTTCCACGTTAAAGTGTCCTTGTCTCTCGATAATGTAGAGATAGCTTAGTTAATTTCAGGATCGATTTCATGTCAGATGACTTTTGCATGATGATTCCTGGGGTCTAGTCATGGTTAATTCGTGTGGAAGTCAGCTAGAAGTTCATCACTTAACCGCTGGACAACCCTTGTTGAAAAAACAAAATTTCATTGTTGACAATTTTTGGGTCCACAAGTGAATGCTAACGTAAAGACAATATATACTTTTAGTAAGTATATATTAACCTCATTACCTTTAACACAATTAGACACAGTTTTTTTAATTTACTGCAATTGATTCAGTTTTCGAATAATATGTTAATTTATAGGGAACTGTAACCCTATTTAGAGGAGTAAAATTCTAAATATCTTGGAATATTCAGGCATACTACTAACTTGTCCATATGAATATAAGCCGAACGTAAAGTTTGCTAAAATCGACTGAACTTTCAGCTCATGCAGAGCGCCATCTATTATTAAATCAGTAATAGAGATGATCTGGCTATACTTGAAGGCCACTTCAATACGAATCCTGGTTTAAGACAAAAAATTCATTAAAATCATTAGTTTTTCACCGATGGTCATATACTTAGTGACCTCCCATATATCATCGAAAGTAAGCCATTCACAAAGTTTACTATAATTAATTAAATATTTGTGAAAAAACTCTAATTTATGCTTATTATTGCTTTGAAATGTGAAAACTTGTGTCATATAAGTTTAAATTTTATTGAAATTATTCTTCACTTACTGAGTATGGCCTTCTTTTTTGAAATGACTCAATTTGGTCGAATAGGAAGCCATAATGCCAAGAATTATTCTCCGGCTTGAGAAACATCACCCAAATAACGAGGCAAGGGAAAGCGGAGGCGACCTTCGTGCACCGACTCTCACAACGCTGCATTCCGGCACGCTTTTCATAGAAGGTCTTCTGCAGCACACACTGTGTAGGCGAAAAATTTGATTCTTGAAGGTAGGGCACAAGTAAGATGCGAATAAAGATTCCTTCAAGTAACAGTGCACAAGTGAAAATAGTTGCTCCGCCGATATAAAACGCCTTAGCTAACAGGCAGCATCTTCTCTTCCTCCTATCTACGGTGAAGTACGTCGCGGTCGTGGAGGTCAATTTTTCCGGAAAGCCACCTTTCTTAAGCATCGTCTTTTTGGTTATAGTAATGTGGCAAACTGGAACAAAAGTGTGTGATAAGAAATTTCCTACAACATTTTGATATCATTGGTTAAGTGGATTCAGCCAATAAACATCGTTTTTCAGATTAGATCAGTTTTATTACGCTCCAAATTGTCTTCCATGAGATTAAATCAACAGGTGTAAAAAATTCGTTTTAACTTGCATATACCTGTCTTCAAAAAAGTAAACTATTGACTTTCCTTTCTAAAATAGCGTGGAATCTTTTGTCTTGGTTACCCGGTATTTAAAGAGGGCAATCTTAGAACATTGCCTTATATATATATATATATATATATATATATATATATATATATATATATATATATATATATATGTATATATATATCGTTGGTTATGTCGGTTGGGGATAAATGTTATGGTGGGCATTTCCGCTATCAAGAATATGGTGATCCTTATCAATTACGAGTTGTTTTTTTAAAAAAGAAATGGGGTTCATATCTTAAGCCTAAGTTATTTAAAAATTTAACAGTGGAATTAGATTTCGTCATGGTCACTGAAAATAAGACACATGCATAATGTTAAAAAATTTGATCGACAAGCTAATTAGCCAAAATCCACCCTCCCCCCCCCCCCCAGCTTCTTAATTCAAAATAACCAGAGAAGCGAAACATTTTCGCAATTTACAACAAGCCGACGACCCTACGATTTGGCAAATTTTAATAAAAATTCAGCTTTTAAGACTATTTGACAGCAAATTGTAAATTGAAAACTTGTCAAAATTGCATTCTATTGCAATGCAGGATGCAGAATTGAAGATTTTTGCTATCTGCCTATGTCTAGAAGCCCCATTAGAATTCAAAGCATTGAACATAATTTTGGATTTCTGAAAGTGCCTGAGATTAGCTGCCTTTGCATAAATAATGCATAAGTTGTGTTGTAGCCAATTACCAACTTTAGTACCTTATAGACTTAAATAAACGCAGCTTGCCTAACACTTAAAATAGCTGCAAACATAGTGCTCAATATTATTTCATAATTTCAAATCTGTAAAAGTACTTACGAGCATTATTCTATTGTTTTATTACATTATACTACATGGGGTGTGCGATAGACATGCCTCCACGTGATGCACCCTGGGCAGCGTATACTCATACGGCAAAAAGTCTATTAACCGGCAGTCGACTTCTGACTTCAAACTAAGGTGACCCCACTGTATGCCATATTCAACCACTCTCACAGTACTCACCCACCTTTTTTCTACCTTTTCTACCTTCGTCCTCGGAGCACTCTTCTGTCAACCCCCCTTTCGACTTTTTTTCACTGATGTTCTTTCCCCTCTGTGAAGCCTGAATTCAGCTTAAGTCTAATGATAACTTTCAAAACGCCCGCCAGTTGATATAAACAAATATTTCACTACATTTTAAATAATTAAAAATAGTCCATAACTTAACCGTTTGTGTTTTTTCGTAGAGTCAACCCTTGAACACTACTTTACCCATTCTTATTTACTTGAACATTCTGCAGCGGTCTGGTATGCCAAGCGGTAGAAAAGACTTTAAAAATGAAGAATTTCATTTTCAGCAACATGGGGCACCCCGCCCTCATTACCATCGCGATTTTAGGTCTTTCCTTGATGAGATCTCGGCAAACAGGTGGATTGGACGAAGAGGTTTTGTTTAATATCCACCAGACCTCTTATCACTAGATTTTTTATGGGGCTACTTAAAAGACGTAGTCTTCGCTACGAAACCTGTAACAATAATTGAATTAAAAGAAGCCATTGGGCATGAGCACATCCAAATTCCATGGACTTTTTCATGATGTGGACGATTCCATTGCTTGGCGTTGTCAGTAGCGTCCTGTTCAAAATGGACGTCAGCTTGTGAACAAGCAGTGACAAATAACAAAATTATTCATCTAACATGTTATTACGCTTTTAAAATAATGAAATTCTAATTAACCGTCACGTTAGCAATTAGTTTAATTAAGTATACGTCTTTTTGGGACACCCCGTATTTATTACTGCTGAATTCCATGTAAGATCAGTTGGCCTTAATTTTCACTGTACGGAAATAGTGAGTTGATTTGGTCATGATTTTGGAATGTGAACAACTTCAAAATTAAATCTTGTACAACCCGATTTAGATGCCTTGTGTTTGTTCTTAATATCTTTTTTTGGAACACTCCCACCAAGTCAATAATTGAACGGGTAAATGAAGAAAGTGCGTTGATCAGGGTTTTGTATGTTTTGTTGGAAATGTGAGGTGTATTTTAACTTTGAATTAACCTACAGAAAATCATTGCTACCTGGTTAGCCAAATGAAGCTCAGTACTACTCACTATGATCAAGTCACTTGAACTGGATCATATAGAGTACAAATTCCCCCCCCCCCTCTGTACTCCCATTTATCATGCCAATATAAATTTCTCTCTCTATTTCTCAAGGCTCTGAACCTCTGTTAAGTGCCTTTTATGATTTCGTAATCAAGGGAACTCCCTATCTTCTTGCCTAGGGAAGATCGGAGGCAGTAAGGAGAAAGTTAGCTTGACAGAGAAATCTGTAGCAACTCAGAGAGCTTGGTACCCACTTGTTGCATCACTACTTCGTCTTCATTTATTGAGAAATTTTTAAAATAAATATGTTAGAGAACGTCTGGTTAGTTGTTTAAACAGAAATAGAGAATTAAAGTTGCTTATTTCTCATGAGTGGACATGGAGAGTCCTTGCATTCTCAAAAATTCCCGTATGAAAGCATTCGGCGTGTATTTGTGTACTCAGCGCATTGATTTATTCACTTCTGCTCTCCTCTCAGCTTTTGATCAATCCGATTAAGAAAAGCTCTAGGCCATACATGTTACAATGATCGCATTGAATGTTTCAATTAATACGCGTTCGGTAATACAACTTTGAGGTGTATTAAATGAGAATTTCTTCATGGTTAAAAACAAAGGTGCACTATATTCACCCTTATTGGGTGTGCAATAGAATTACCTCCATGTGGTGCCCCTTGGGCAACGGATACTCATATGGCAAAAAAGTCTATTAATCGGCAGTTGACTTCTGACTCAAACTACCATGATCGACTGTATGTCATATTCGACCCATTTCACAGTATTCATCTTACCTTTTCTCTGCCTTTGTGTCTGTCTGTCCCATTTACATCTGTGAGTCATTATTCTGCCCCCCCTCCTCTCGACTTTTTGTTATCCTGATGTTCCGCCTCCACTCTGTGAAGCCCGAAGTCAAGTAAAGCGCTAATGATAAATATCAAAACGCCTGCCATTTGAAATAAATAAATAAATTTTCACCCTTATCGAATAGTAAACAGGTAATCATATAGGAAATTCGTTTAATTTGAATGCCGGATTCATCAGAATACGTTATTTTTAACTTTATAAATACATTTCATTATGCCGTATCTCCACAATACAATGTTTTGGAAATTACAAGTTTTCTTATAAGCTCATGTCTCCAACGTTCCAAGTTTATTGTTACGTAAGAGATCTAAATAGAGAGATATTAGCAATAATTCACAACCTCAGTTAGAATAGCGTTTTTCAAAGCTTAAATTGATTAGATTGTAGCACCCTTGGTGAGAAACTCGATTTCAATCGCCGTCTAAGTTGGTCGAATCCACGAACTCTGGAAATGCAATGATCAGTTCTCTACCGACACAAATAATACCAGAGTAAAAGTGAATGCACATTTCAGTAAATATCTTGAACATTAGAAAGCGTTGACGGAAGCTCAAGCCTGGAAATGAGCTGGTTGATCATTATTGATTACACTCAAAATTTGAATATCACCTGTTGCAATCTATTGGCACTACTCCTCATAGGTGCTTACAGCATCCATACTCAGATTACCCTACATATATGGATAAACTTTAACGCTTTGGCTATTACACCTAATACTCAATCTATTCCAGGCAAGCGATTTCGAACATTTATAATTTACCATTGTAAAGATTATCCAATCCGTCAACTCAACGCCGAACCGTCTGAATTGATCACACTTTCAACGCAAAATTGCCCTGCAAGTATTCTGCTTCAGTTCCTCATGGAAATGTCATTAGAACACAGTGATTAGAGATAGGGGGCCTCAAAAGGTTAATTGAGAATAACATAATCCTTAAGTCCATTTCTCACCTGCATCCACTTGCAACGTGGTTCCATCAATAAGACCAAACAGTCCGATTTTATTCCCAGATCTTTAACCGAACGGATATTATACTCCATTATTGTAGGGCTGGATCACACCGCCTCAATTTATTTAGCATTCACACGACAATGAATGGTTAGATCTAAGTTCCAATGACATCCTAGTTAATTAGTAATCATGCGACAAATCATATTTTTTTATGATCCAAATCAACAGTTTGCACCGGATACTAATGCAGCGTTATATTCCATTATTGAATTAAAGCACATTGGCTGACCTCAAACTAGGTCAGTCATCTGTTTAAGCCATTAATATTGTGAATGGACAATCACTTTTATAAGTACCGATATTGCAATGAAACAAAACACACACACACTCTCTCTCTCTCACATTTAGTTTCGTGCCAATGTAGAAAATGGAAATCGAAGCACACAGTCATCACAGAAGGCGTATATTCGTCAGCAAAATGCAAAAATAAGGTACAAAATCTTGGGATAAACAAAATGCCAACCTCCGAGTTGTCAATTAGGATGATTGTCCAACCGGAATTCCTTTTGTAAATGCTGACGGTTTTACCCGAACACGGTATACTCCAATCAAAAGCTTCTGGAGTTTTCGATAGGCCTAAAAGAAAGAGCATATTACTAACGTTGAGCTTCACTGATGCACCGATTTAATGGAAAGCAATCCACGGTGAACAACCCAAGGGATTTGAATTTCCACTAAGAGCCAAGTACCAGGCCCATTATAAAGTTCAAGAATCAAGACGGTGGTAGCAAAGACAATGAATGACAATCATTGGAAACGAAACACCACCGGCACTAAAGGGGAGTTCTGAGTGATTCAAGAAACTGCTGATAAAAACTCGGTTGGAATAAAAATTTTAATTTAAACCTCATCTTACGCTTATCATCCCTATACTCTTCTTTCTGCAAAAAACCTTGATGCAAAACGAAGTCATTTTACCTTTAAGTTACTTGACGCTTAGTAGGATACTCAGTTAAGAAAGCATGACGATTTATAATTACCATGAGTGTTTAAAGTGCTCTAATTAGACGTTGCCCTTGATTCTTGACCCATTATTACCTAATGAGAAAGTACTAAAGAACTATATTAAATTATCTCCTCGGAAAACAAAACCAATAGACAGAATTGATCCGAGATCCAAATAAAATGTAACCATATTACTCTCAGCAACAAAACTAAGCCAATCTAAGAGATCGTTCTTTCTACACTCTGAGTGGATGAAGGGCAAGAATCAAGGGAAAATCTGATGAAAATCGACTTCTGAGACCTTCATCAACGAGCCAGACTTAGGCAAGGCAGTTGACAATACCACTCAACGACTCTTCAGTGGGGACCATCAAGCCCTTGACATTGAACTTCGTCAAATATCAAAATAGAGCTCTTAACAATGCGAAGCTACATAAGCTTTAAGTCACAAGCAAATTTCAAGAAACGTTGTATAAAATTTCTCAACCTTATTGGATTCCACTGCCATTGGAGAGTAATCAGGATAAAGAGTGACCGAGTTCAATCCTCCATTATTGAGCCGATTTCCGAGGATAAATACCCTAAAGCCTGGTTGTTCATCAGGGGCAGCTGAACTTGCATCACCACCACTATGAGTCTTTGATCGCTTCGTCGGGGAAATAAGAGATGCATAATTGTAGGATCCATTAAAGGAAGCGGCTGTGTAAATTGGCATAGATTGCTTGCAACGAGGGGGAACAACTTTTCCTTCCTAGTTAAAGTGAAAATTAGTGGGAATAAAATGTCCCAAATCATGGGATACAATTTAACAGTCCTGAACTCTAACTTAAACGGTTGAGTATTCGTGACGTGGGGGTAGGGTGGATAAACACAGTGTCCTGACACAGTTCTACCCTACACAGGCCTGTTCACAAGGACCATATTTACATCACGTTATATGGGGTGTGCGATAGACTTACCTCCATGTGGTGCACCCTGTCCCATACGGGAAAGTCTATTAACTGGCAGTTGACTTCTCACTTCAAATCACAATCACCCCATTATATGTCATAGTTGACTACTTTAACAGTATTCACCTCGCCTTTTTTCTACCATTGTGTCTGTCTCTTTAAAATCTTTAAAACACTCTTCCATTTCCTCCCTGTGAAGTCTGAAGTCAAAAAAAAGAGCTAATGATAACCATCAAAACGCCTACCATTTGATATAAAATAAATAAACACCACGTTATATCAGAGAGGAAAGGATATTATTTACTAACCTCTAAATCCACACAAGCCACATAGAGTAGAATCAGTTCATCCATCGCCGGGTCGTTCGCCTCAATGGCCAATCGGCTAAAGTAATCGGAATAGCCTGGTGGAGTGCTAAAGGTCAATTGAAGTTGTTGATAGGTCATAGAATGTGAGTTGGATACAATTTGGATTGGAAAGAAACTGGCAGATTGAGGAGCAATTGACATTTTTGTGACAGGTGGATGACCAGGACTTATGAGTATGACGTCGGGAGACATCGTATTCTTTACCAGTTGGAGCATGTACAGTTCCATTCTACAGGGAAGAATTAAGTGAACATGTGGAAATTTAACAACTTTTGATAAGGACAAAGCAAAGAATGAAAAAAAACTATATCACCTTTTCCTGAAATTAGGAAGCTAAGTAATTATGCAAAAATGAATTTCACGAAAACACAGATAAATTCAAACCATAGCTCTATGGATGACCGAAATCTGCCGCTATCCAGTATGAATTTTCGAAGCAAAGCATTCGCTAAGCCAACTATTCAATGGGGTCCTTATAGACAAAGCGGTTCCCCAAAAAGAAATTTGGAATATCCAAAATTCTTGGTTTCAGAACCAAGATCATCCAACTTTACAACCCTATTTCATTTGCCCCCACCCTTGACCTCCGCCAGCGAATTTCGCGGATAACTTCATAATCTTTTAGAGATTTTCATTGCCCTTGAGTAGCTCTCCAAAACACAATACTTGTTCATGTGAGATTATATCCATAGGTGGCAACGATTAGTTTGACTAATGATCCCACAAATGTCACTCTCCAGACGCTTCGAGATAGTAATTAATTTTCCAGACTGCACTGCCATTAAACTCTGTCAAATAACATATTAAATTTTTCACACCCGCAAATATCGTGCACGACATTTCGTGGCATTGTCAAAGCTGACTTATTATGTTCTGTATTATTGCTACTAGCAAATTTAAGTAGCATGGACTTATAAAAAAGACTTACTGTCTACTTGATGCGAAAAGAGCATTCTGAACTTCGATATTTTGGGTGTTTCGGGCCACTTGAATGGGTAATAGATAACGTGTGTTGGGTCGAATAGCGGGAATTGGATTAGGTACGGGATTGACTCCAAACAATAACAAATACTTCACGATTGTCGTATGACCGCCACGAATGGCCTGTAAATGGGGAGAAATTGGAAATACATTAAATAAGCAAATATATGTGCGAGTTTAGATGCATTTATAAGTAAAAATCTATCCACAGAGCTTCATCAGAAGACTGAAACAAGCGTCCCATCAAAAGAGAAAAATGCCTGAATGTTTATTCCAACACCTATCTCGCGTAGAACAGAATTCAAACAAATACATTGAAAAGAAGCCAGAATTGCGTAAATCCCTATAGCAGTTGACCGATGAGCAGTGAACGCGCGACCTGAAATCTAATTGGTCAAACAGAGGTTACATTTCAAGATGTCTAGTGGATTGCCGGGGCATTTCTTATCCACGTTGTCCAAAGTCTATAGAGGGTTTGAAAAGTTAAGATGGTGGGTTTGCCGCACCCGCCCCCTCCCATTTAACGAGAAATAAGAATGTGTTAGCACTTAAAACAAGTAGGTCTCATTTGAGATCAAGCAAATGGAAGTACTACATTAGGAAACAGTTCTTGGACGATTTAACCGGACACAAATGGAGTGATCTTGGCATAGCGGCAATATCAGATGGTATATTAACAAGGGTGGGGTGTGCAATAGACTTACCTTCACGTGGGGCACCCTGGGCAACGTATACTCATACGACAAAAAAGTCTATAAACCGGCAGTTAACTTCTGCCTTCGAACTACCATCACCCCACTGTATGTCATATTCGACCCCTTCCACAGTACTCATATTACCTTTTCTTTGTCTTTGTCTGTCTGTTGCTTTTACACGAGTGATTCTTTGTTTTGTTCCCTCTCTCAACTTTTTCTCACTTTGATGTTCCTCCTCCCTGTGAAAACCGAAGTCAGCTAAATGGCTAATGATAACTATCAAAACGCCTGCAATTTGAAATAAATTAATATATTAACAAGGGTACTATATATTACTGAGATAACTACTTAAATTTAAAGTGAACCTGCAAGAGCAATACATGAATACTTTCACCCTGACGAAGACGCCGCTGTTACACATATCGAAACGATTTCGATCTCCATCATAGAGACAATACTTGTCCAATAAAGTGGGAAAAAATGCATCTTATAACTCACCACTATTAGGGAAGTATCAAATTTGTTGTTGGTGGCATCAGGGTTAGCACCCCATTGAAGAAGAAGCTTAGCGACCATTGTGTGACCCTACAGGAAAAATAAGAACTGGGAGTAAATTGACCAGTAGTTATGGGATCTGGAAAGACAAATAAACTCACATGTTCACAAGCTAAAATAAGAGGCGTGTTCCCCGACTTGGGCGATTTAGCATCAATCTCGGCGCCGGCTCGTAGAAGCATCCCAGCGATATCAGCGTAACCTGTCAGGGAATGCAATAAGCATGATTACCTATGTAAGAATCTCATAAATTTATTAATCAATCCCCCATCGCGGTACACAAGTAGAGCTTCCTACAACTAGCTCGGAAGTGCATAACTTAAACACCTTGGGCGGCATAACCCCCCATTCACCACTCTCTCGGAAGTTGTAAATGCCCCACTTACCCTGAAGATGCCAATGAGAGGATTGTCTTAAATTGTGTCAATATACACCCTAATAATAAAAATAGATTTCCGGAACACATATGGTGACTGAAATGTTTAACGAGAAGAGACCACGAAAACTATGCCCTCTTCTGCACACAAAGGAATTTGTGACTAAAAGCGTCATCGAAATGTGCCATCCACGTACAATAGGGAAAAATCATTATATTAAAATTACATTAACTAAAAATTCTTTGATCCAATAAGGATTCATAGTGAGGAATCATTCACAGCAATCAAGCCAAGCAATGCCAATAAAACTATTTTAAACAGGGTGCGTTCATATATACACCTTCTTTCGCTATCAAATACACTAGGAGTGATTTGGGAAATGCTCAATTTCACCACCAAATATCAACTCCCTCGTTTCAGCAAACATAGCATTGAAAATGCACAATTCTACAATGATTTTCTAGTGATCAAACGAACTAAATCAATAAAAGTTAAATAATAACGTAATCAATAGGTCCCAAGCATATGGTAAGTAATCAGATTTGGCTGTTGGGTTAAATCAGCCTCTAGTAATCAAATAAATACAAGAAAAAGCTTAAAAACCTTGACGACAACATGGAGACACAAAAAACTGGCTTAATTCAATTACAGGAGTCATAAAAGGAAGAAATTCGCGTTAGGTCAAATCTTTGTTGAACTTTGTCAGAAAGTGGGGTTATTCCATTGCAAGCAAGAAGTTTATGCAAATGAAAATACGTGGACAGTGAGACACCATTCAGTCGAATTTTTCATTTATTAAGATCGATTTCCACTTCATTGAGAAGGGGTGCGTGATAGACTTACCTCCACGTGGTGCACCCTAGGCAACGTATACTCATACGGCAAAAAAGCCTATTTACTGGCAGTTGACTTCTGACTTCAGACTACCATGAACCCATTCTGTGTCATATTCCACCACTATCACAGTACTCGCCTTACCCTACTCTCGACCTTTGTGTCTGTCTCTTTTACATCTTTGAAATACTCTTCTGTTCTCACTTTGATATTCCTTCCCTCTGTGAAGCCTGAAGTCAACTAAAGAGCTAATGATAACTATCAAAATGCCTGCCATTCGAGATAAATAAACCTCATTGAGATAAATGTTTGTTGTGTTTAGATAAGCGAAAAAAACAGGGTTAAATGTGGTAAATGCATACATACTAATAAAAATTCAAACTTATTTACAAAAGGAATTTTCAAAGCTCATCCTTAATTAGTGGCATCATGAGC